GTGAGAATCCCTGGCAAGGGGAACAGAAGTGAACCGACTTTACCAAACCGCCACTGAACTTGACAATTGTATTGCAATGGCGTAGGCTGCGTGATGTCACCTCTGGCCGTATCTCTGGTCTCCCTCTTTTCCAGTTAATCACATCCTTATGCAGCCGTGATCAAGGGAATGTAACTGCTGAAAACTAGCTCGTGATTGGCTTATTATGGAGTTAACGGGTGAATAATAAAAGTATATATATTATATATATATATAAATATTTTAAATATCTTTCATGTTCCAAATGTACAAGGATGTTCGGTCTCTAATGAAAAGCTGAATCCAGATCATTCCTCAAAATTAGAATCAAGGACAGTGCCAGACATATACATTGGTACAGTGAACTATTTCCTTCTGAAAGCAGGCATTGACTTTTCTTAGGGGAGCAGGAGAAAGGATGTGGGGAATTTTATCTAGTTCTTCTGAATTGTCTGGGATGACTTGCTTGAAGAAGGCAGGGTAAGGTGGAGGGACTGTGCCAAGCTTTGGGGAGGGCTTAGATCCCTCAGACTAAGATGGAGTCCTAGGTGGAGCCAACCCTCCTCAGAGGCTTTCTTGCAGGCCCTGGGCCTTTTCCGCATTCAGAAACTGGGCGGTGGTCTGTGGAAGCACATTTCATTGAGTCCCTTCACCCATCCTCTTGGCCTGCTCCCTGTTGGAAGTCGTCCTGCCAACTCTTCAGCCAGCTGTTGCCAATCTTACAGGCATGAGTCCCCCATGAGATTGTGTTTTTCCACTCCTTGGGGTGACTGGCAGTTTGAAGGGGACCTTCGACCTCCTTGTAGCATTTGGGACTTTGTGGAGACCATGTCAGTGCAAGCCCTGTTTAGCTCATCTTAGAGCAAAGAGCCAGCACTCTGATGCCCCCAGGGTGGCTGGGCAAGGATGGTGTGGGGCCGATTCCAGGCCCCTTCAGCCACCAACCCCTGGCCTGTGCCTTCCAACCCATTGGCCATCTTTTGTGCTCCTTTCCAAGACAGCCTGCAAGGAATGGCAAAGGAGCAGTGGTTAGACGCCAACCTGGACTTGACAACAGAAATAATTTCATGTTGCCATTGTCTGAGTGTGATTTTCACTGATGATGGTTAGTGGATTTTTGTGGTGGTGGTGGTGGTGGTAGTGATTGATGCTGCCAGTTTCCCCGCAGTAATGGAACCTCCAGTCACATGGCTGGCTGTGTAGGCATTCCTGTTCCTCACTGTGCTCAGCCAGGCCGCTTAGGGAGGATCGGGTTGTGGAATTGTCAGCAGCCCACATCTAGGCTTGTATGTAACTTTTGCTCTAGGAGAAAGTAAGTGGGTGGATAGCGTGGTGTGGGGGTTTCCTGGCTGGTTTCACATCTCAGCTACTTGTAGAGGGAAGGAAGTCTTAACCAGGAAGCCAGGCTGTCTAGTCTTAGTAACGAAAGCCAAGCTCTGCAGCCCAGCAGAGCTGTTTCAGGCTGTAGGTTTTGGTGAGGTTTGCCAAAGGCTAATTCTGCAGTCCCAAAACTGGAAGAAATCGTATGCTTGAGATAGGGGCTGTGCCACCTGCTGGAATGTTGCCTGCTCTTTGCAGACTGGATTGGATTTTCATCAGAGGCCTCTAGGGACCTCCTTTCTATTGCCCCTGTGCTGCAGTCTGCAGTCACCAACGATCATGGCTGACCTTGGACTCCTTGACTCCAAGATACCCAGACCAAAGAAGCTGCTGTTCTTAGCAAGATGCTCACTGCATTCCGCAGACAGAGGAGTCGGAGAGGCGGGGCAGCCTCCCGGACATCAGACACATCGCCCCGGGTCCCAGAGCAGCTAGCCCTGTGCAGGCTTCTAAGGATATCAAAGAATAAAGTGCCCGACTCTTTGCTACCTTGGGCAGGACCTGAAACTTGGAATGTTCCCTGTCAGAGGCTTGGTCAGCTCTGGGCCTAGTCCCAGCCCAAACTGCCTGTGAAATGTGGGGTGCACAGTAGCCCCTGGAGTGAGTTTGCCTTGGTTGACCCAGGTCATGGAATGGAAACTATGAGGCCTGTGGCTGCTCTGGAAGAAACAGATCTCCTGGAAAAGCCCGTGTCTCCCTCCAAAACCGTGCGGCCCGCTCCTTGGACCCTGCTGTTCATGGCAGGGACCCTGCCCCACCCTCAGCACCACAACCCAGGTCTTCAGGAGTCGGCTCAGTGGCTGCTGTTAGTCTCCTTTTTGTCCCAACAGTCCTTGGGTTCTTCACTCAACCCCTTACAGGACTTCAGGTCAGAGAGAACCATTGTTTGGGGTTCAAGGCCTCCCCACAAGGAGCCTTGCAGGATGGTGGAGCCACAGCTGGCTAGAATCAACAACAGGAGGACCTGGGGCCTCATCACCTGGGACCTGCCCCAGGCAGCTGCTGTTGGGAGAGCCACCTGGGCGTGGCCCTTACTCTATGCTACCAGACTCTTCGAGGGCACTGGGCTTTTGGACACTCATGTCTCTCTAGGTTTATTTCCTGCTTTTGGATGGACTCTACATTTGACCCCTGACCTTGTAGCAATTCCCACGGCCTCCTGGCCTCCTGTCTCTGTGTCGGGAGAGCTGGGTAAAAAAAAGCCTCAGCTCTGGATTGAGGTCTGTGTAGGGGTTGTTACCCCACACATGCCTACTTTCAAAGATGCTAATGTCTGGTTTGAAGGCCAGCCCACACCGAACCACTTCAACACCTAGGTTTATGGAAAATTTCAGGCCTTTTCTGCACCTCCCTTCTAACTGCCAATGCACCCCTTACTGCTGGCGCACTGAAGCCCAAGGGTGGATATCCCAGTGGTCTTTAATTCTTTGCTCAAAGATGACCAGCATTTAAACAATCCAAGGGATGGCCCACAGGCCCGGGTAGCTTCAGGGAGCTGCAGTCTAGGAGAGGGTGAGGGGTGCGGGAGTTTATCTCCAGCCAGTGCCTATCCGCCTGGGGGAAGCCTTCTCAGTGGCCTGGCCCACCCGCCCCAGACAGAGGAGACCCAAGGCTTCAGTTTTGCCTTACTGCAAAGTAAAAGCAGGCTTGCAAACAGACTGTCCCTCAAGAGGCTTTGTGGGACAGTTTCATTCAATTAAATTTAAAAACATTGACTGCAGGCAAGGTGCTGCATCTGGGAACGGAGTGGGGGAAGCTTCACCTTTTCGTCTTGGCTTTTCTCTAGGCTGTGGGAGGGGCATCAATTTCCGGTGTGGGGGAAGAAACACCAAATGCATTGTTTCGCTTAATGCATCTCACTTGTTTCTAATAAAGGAAGCAGCTGAATAAAAACCCTTCCGCCCTCCTTGTTTTGTGGACAGCAGGTGGCAGTGGAACCAATGGCAGTCCTGTCTTGGGCTAGAGTACCCTCTCGCCAAGTGACAGTGCCCTGCAGGAAAGGCTCTGGTGACCACAGCACTGGGCACCTTTTGAAGACTCTTGGCAAGGCTGCCCTTTCAGGGCAAACTTGGCTCTTTTCCCCAAACCTCTCAGCTCCCAGCGAGGAGCCAGTACTGACCCAGCTTCACTCCGTGTAAGAGGAGCAGCCAGGCTCTGTGCCAGCACCAGGTACCCCGGCCGAGGAGCCAGTCCTGGGCCTCCACAGCTGGGAGATCGGCCCCTCTGTCTGGGTCAGCAGTGTCTCCTCTGATGGAGGGGCGCAGGCACTGCCCCTTCCCACTCGTCCAGATGCCACATCTGGGCCAAGGGCTGGTGGGCCTATTACAGCACCAGCGGTGCTTTTAACACTGCAGGTCCCCAGGCCCACTGCCCACCTACTGAGCCAGCTTGAGGAAGGGCCTGAGTAACTGCCTTCAACTTCCCATTTCCTGCTCTCTTCCTCTGGAATCTTCATTCATTCCCTGCCCCCATGCTCCGTTCAGGCCCCCCATGGCTGGTGCCTCTGAGCTACAGCTTGAGAGGACATGACCTGCTTCCGGGAACTGCTGTCAGGCTCTGCCCTTGTTCAGTGTTAGTGCTGCTGCCTGATGGAACCCATAGTGCCAGGATCCACATTTAACCCTAGAAAGCCACCTCCCTGGTGGGTTTTCTCTGGGTTCTGTTATCTGGTGTCTCGGCACCTGCTCCTAGCATCTCTAGACAGTAGCCCCGAGCAGCCGCTGCCTCCAGGCTGGTTGGCTGGTGGAAGGTGAGCCCCAAGTCTCTGGGATTTGTCTACTGAGTAGACAAGAGCCTTGGACCCCGCTGAGCCTGGAAAGTGGGGGTTTGAGGCCTCTCAAGAGCCCTGTCCCCACCCCCTTCGGACCATAACAGTTCTGTTCTGGAAAAGCCCATCCACTGCCTCCCCATGCAAGGCCGCCCTGAGGGTTGGTGGGTGGTTTATAATTGGTGTCCTCATGGTCTTGTAATGCTGGCAGCAGCCTTAAAGTAAGTCTTAGACAAATCCAAGCCCTGCTGGAGGAAGAGGCCCAAGAGACTGCCCCCATCTCTCCCATTGGGCCTGGTTGTATCCTCAAGGTGGCAGTGGTAAAGGAAGCTGGCTTCTTTATTTTTTAAAATAGTCTTGTTCCATTGTCCTCTCCAGAGCTCTTCTATGAAACGAGCTAAAAACCTACTTCTCGGTGTCCCCAGGGCTCCCAACCTTAGTTCTCCCTTCTTGCTTTAACAAGGATGGGGGCCTCAGGTTCAGAAGCTGGAGGGAGGAACCCAGGAAAACCTGAGGAGGGAGTCCTTAGCAGGTGGCCAAGGCCTGGGTGGGGTGTAACGGCTAGACTCAAGGGGTAGAGGTGGCTGAGGGTCCATATATACTGCTCCCCAGTCTCCTGGTGGCAGCAGGCCTGGCTCTTCTTAAGCCACAATGCAAGGCAGGCCGAGGACCTCAGGAGCTGGGGCCAGCCCAGGGTTGCAGGGAAAGGATAACCACCTGCTGCTCAGGAGGTGCTGAGGCAGCTCTCAGCACCCGGTGGAAACCTGAGCCTGGCGAGCAGGCAAAGGGGGCGGGCTGGGCGGGCTGGGCGGGCGGTGCTCCCGCCGCGCTCCACTCGAGGTTGGGCCTCTGCCGCGGCATGCAGACGGTATCCACAGAACCCGTGTGGGTCAGTTGGGCCCTCAGGAGTGCTGGATTCGGATGTGGACAAAGAGTGTGGCTGGTGACAGGGAGGCCCCGTCCTTGGAAAGCAGGTGGATGTGGCGGTACCCTGTGGGAAGGCAGCCAGGCATCAGGTTGCAGCTCACAGCCCAGATCCCGTCCCCAGCGGCTGGGCCCCAGCTTGAGCCTCCCTCAGGAAAGGCTCACAGGAAACTGCAGTGCAGGTGAGCAGGGTCTATGGGCCCAGACCCCTGTCCCTTCCATTCCCACCAACCCCACCAACCTTGCTTCAGGCTGTTGAAAGGCAGCGTGAACTGGCCCACAAAGTCATTGGGGGATGTGGTGTCATAATCTTCTACCATGAACCGGGTCAGCGCCAGCTCTGGAGCCCGTAACTGGAACTGCAGGGTCTGCCCCCAGCGGGGGTTGAAGCCTAGGGCACGGGCAGGTGGGCAGGTGGGCAGTCAGCGCCAGCTGGCCCCTGCCCTGCCACCTCCCTGTATTCTCGGCTGCCTGCCCCACCCCACTTCCACCAGCAGACCCACCCACCGTTGTTGAGCACGTAGTTGGTCTCCTTTCGAGCACAGTCCATGGGCACCCCATGGATCTCAACGCGCACCAGGGGGTCCACGATGGAGTTGGGCTTCTCGGCATTCAGCTTGGGCAGCTGCTGTGCAGTCAGCACCTGCAGGGGATGAAGAGCTGCAGCCTGGCCCCCCTGGGCACCCCGCCCTGCCCACCAGGCAGCCCCAGGCCTCCGCTGTCTCCTCCACTTCAGGCTGGCTCCCACGGACTGGACCTCCAAAGCCAGCTCTGAGCCCAGGGCAGGGCTTGGTCAGGGCCGCTAACCTGGATAGTGAGAGTAGTTCTGGGGGGTCCAGGGCACTCAGGGTCAAAGGTTGTGTCAGGCTGCCGAAGGCAGGCAGGTTTCAGGACGTAGCCGCACCGCCCGTTGATGAGGAAGCGCCCAGCGTTGAGGTCCATCTCATAGCCTGGCGTCTGGAAGTTCAGGGCCACTGTGGACACAGCGGGCTCAGGACAGGGGCTCTTAGTGGCCCTCTCCCCAAGATCTGTAGGCAGAAGACTCAGTTCCTCTCTAAAGGGGGCACAGGGTTCTGTGTCTGGGTAGTGCTGCTCCTCCCCCACCACGGCTTGGGGAGCAAGGTGGTGTCATGGCAGCCAGGTGATGCAGACTCCACTGTCACCTAGTATCTCTTCAAGGCTGGGGTGTGGGGCTGAGTGGGGCATGTTGGAGAAGCCCCCACCTTCAGGGCCAAGCCTGAGGAGGTCTGAGGTTTCTATACCCACCCCAAGGGGACCACACTCTCCCCCTTGGCAGGCTTAGCATGGGATTGCCAGGGGTATATGTGCATGTTTGTGTCAAGGGGGCACATGGGGGTGGAGATTTTCAACTTCTACCTTCATTAAATATGGGAGCTTTTTACACTGTCAAGAACAAACAAGCCTGATTTGTATTTCCCCACATACTCTGCTCATAATTTTAAAATAATTCTTATTAACGAAACAACTGTTTTCCACCTGGAAAGCTGTGTGGCCCTGTCACTGCGGGGGATTGCTATGACGCCCCACAGGCCACCCCAAAGCAGCACCCTGGCCCTCTGTAGCCACACTCACCCAGCTGACAGCCCGAGTTCCACATCTCCTGGGGGCTGTAGTTGGCCGAGTTCATCCGGAGCCCCGATGGGTAGACACGGATCAGTTGGCGGGCATTGTGCCTGACGAAGCTGTTCCCTGGCGGGGAGTTGGGGCGGGACTGTGACAAGTTCCTGGGGTATCCCTCCCCTGGTGTCAGGGGCTGTAACCCCTTCCCCAACTCCAGGGACAAGCTGGGAACAGAAGCTGAAATCCCATCCCCAGCTTCTCTTCTCTTTGACCCAGCAGGTGGGGAACCTCATGAGGTTGCTGAAGTCCGGGGAGGGACAGAGACCCCCTCCCACAGCCCTGCACTGCATCCCAGCCCCAAATCCCCACATTCCTGACTCAGATCAAACGCCAGGCCCCAGGCTGACGTGTCCCCCCCCCTCTCTCATGACTCGCCCACACACGCCCTCCAGCCACACTGGCTTCCCGGAACCCTTCCTGGATGACATGCCTCCAGGTCCTCCTGCAACTTGCTCCCCCATTTGGAAATCCCTTCTCCCTATCACCTGGCTGCTCCTCATCCTTCCCTCAGGTGTCTTCTCAGGCATCACCTGTTCAGGAATCTTTCCCTGATCTCACCCCCTTCTGCTGGACGTCCCCCAGCCCCCATCATGGCCCCGCTGATCACAGCATAATTGCCCAGCTATGTGCAGCCCCACCACGAGGCCGTGCGCCCGGTGAGGGCAGACGCGGCCTCCCTCCTCGCAGGGCCCCCTCCCCTCCATGCATGCTGGGCATGTGCTGGGCATGTGCTGGGCACTCATTCCCTGCACCCTTCTCTGGGGTCTTCCTGACCTCTTTACTGCCCCCAAAGCCCTCTCAATCTCCTTTCCAGACCAACTTCAAGATACCCCCCCACCAGGATCCTACAGGCCCCCACCGGCCTCCTGCCCCCAGATGCCAGATATCCCGGCTCCTACCTGCCTCTCGAATGAGCTTCTTGGCCTTGCGCTCACTGAGGGAGCTCATCTGGCAGGGCTGGGGTGGGACAGGGGCAGGGCGCAGGGTCCGAAGGCGAGTGGCACAGCAGTACACGACCAAGGCGGACAGTTCCGGGGAGATCTGCTTGGCCTAGGAGACAGCCGCAGAGGGGTTCCTCCCACTCCAGTCCCTAGTCCTCCTACCTTCCCTCCATCTGCCACCTGCCCCAGGCTCTGCGCCAGGGGAGAGCCCCTGCCCAGCCCACCCCACGCACCTGCCGCTTCTGCTCTTCAGCCTGCACCCCTTCTTCTTCCTCCTCCTCTTCGTCATCCTCCTCTCGGTCCGACAGAATTCGACCATCCTCGTTCCAAGCAGCTGGCAGCTTCTTCCCCTTCACCAGGACCCGGCCCTTCAGCTGCTGCAGAGGCCAATATGGGAGGATTAAGCCCTTTTGCCCCTGTATCAGCTGGTTGGTCAATCCTTCAACCACCACTGTGTGAGAGGCTGGGGGGGGGGGGAGGGGGCAGGAAAGAGACACAAAGATGAGTGGTTCCTAATAGAAAAAAAATGGGAAACAACCTATGAGGCCATCAACAGGGGACTGGCTGATGAGGTCCCCCCAAACATCAGAATACTACACGGCAGCCGTTAAAATGATTGAGGCAGCTGGGAACCGAAAGAGAAGTTGCCGTCTGCTACACACATCTTCAAAAAAGATCTCACGTGAAAGAAGCAGTGTAGCCCTGGCCGGTTTGGCTCAGCTGTTAGAGCGTCAGCCTGCGGTCCAGAAAGACCCGGGTTCAGTTCCCACTAGGGCCGCGTGCCTTGGTTGCGTTTTGTCCCCGGCCCTGGTTGGTCGTGTGGGTGGCAGCTACTCGATGTGTCCCTTTCACATCGATGTTTCTCTCTCTATCCCTCTCTCTCCCTCTCACTCTATCTGAACAAAAATGAAAAATGTCCTCGGGTGAGGAGGAAGGAAGGAAGGAAGGAAGGAAGGAAGGAAGGAAGGAAGGAAGGAAGGAAGGGAGGGAGGGAGGGAGGGAGGGAGGGAAGAGAAGGAAGGGAGAGAGGAAGGGAAGGAAGGAAAGGAAGGAAAGGAAGAAAGGAGCAGTGTAGAGCATGGAACCACATGATCTTTTTTACGTAACGTTTGAAAGAGAGGATGGAAAACGAAGGTCCCGGTGTGCTCTCCTTCCCAGATGCATGCCTGTGCCTCCCCACCCTTACCCTTCTTCCCACAGGCCTGCATCTCCTAAACTCCAAGGGACCCCATAAGACTTGTAACCAGGGGAGCGATGAGCAGCGGCAGCTTGTTCCAGACAAACCCCCTGAACCTGTCTCCAAGGCCCCCTTTCCTCTGACTTCCCAGTGAGCCAAAGCAGCCCTGCCTCGGCTCTCCTGTTGCTTCTTCTATGCTCGTCCTTGTTTCACTGTCCTAAGTATATTTTGCTGCGGTCAATAAATCCTTGCTTTTCTACCAAAAAAGAAAAGAAAAAGAAAAAAAGAGACATAGCTACGGATAGGGGTATATATGCGTGGGGAAATTCTGGAAGGACACACAAGAAATTGCTGAAGATGGTTACTTCGTGTGAAATAGGACAGGGATAAGCCCAAGTGGAAGAAAACCCATTTTCCATTGTATACACTTATGTACAGCTCGACTTTTTTTAACCATGTTTTTTGCATATTTGGGATTGGGAGTAGGAGAGTTTTCTCAAGGAGCCAGAACAGGATACATATCCTGAGGGGCATATAAAATACTCTGGGGTTTGGGAGGAAGGGAAGCAGGACCACCTCTGGCCAGAGTGCTGGGGAAGTTCCTAAGGCCACAGGAAGAGGTGGTGGCAGATGTCAGATGAAGGGAGGAGCAGGGGAAGGTTAAGGCAGAGAGAGGTGAGGGGTCCTGAACCAGGGAGGTGGCATGAGCGGGGGTGAATGGTGACAGCAGGCTGACCCATCCCCGTCTACGTTGGGGATCTGGGGGCATCACCTCTGGGGATGGCAGCTCTTCTGGGTTCTGGGAGTCCAGTGCCTGCGTCACCAGCATGTCCCCCAGGATGGTGCGGAGGTGGCGGGCCATGACAGCCTGCTGCTCCAGCCCACAGTGGTTCTCAAGGGACAGGATGACAGGGTATGGGGACAGCTGTGGAGAGAGAGGCAGCAGATCAGAGTCACTCACCCTTCTCTCCCCCTCCCATTCCAACCAACTCCTGCTACACACAGCCCCCAGCCCCTTCAGGACGAGCAGGCAAAGGCTGGGCTCTGGGGAGTCCGGGGGGCTGAGCCGGTGGGATGTGGGACACATGCTGGCACCAGTGTGTGCGTGGAGCAGCAGAGGTCAGAGGGGCCTGGGGCAGGGGTAGACTGTCGGGGAGGCTGAGGGCAGCTGCAGGCATGGTTTTCTTTCATAAATGCTCTTTCTATGTTAATGACATTGACCATGTCTTTAGGATGCACACTTTCCCCCCGGTTCATCATTTGTGGGTAAGAAATTGCAATTTTATGTAGACGCCATGTTAAGCTTCTCTGTTATGGCTTACTCTTTGGGAGTAATGCTTAAAATGTCCTTCCCTACCCCAAGGTTTTTTTCTGGAAGTTTTGTGATTTTAATACATTTACTAAATATGAGGGTGGGTGAAGGAAGCGTCTCACTCAGCTTTATTCTACCCCATTGGCCAGCTGTCCTAACGGCACCTGGTCAGGGAGTGATTCTGGGCGGGGTTTCTTTGAGAAGGACCGAGGGACCTGGGCTCACCGTGAAGGCGTGATCACGCACAGTCTGCACCACGTCTCGGAAGAGGATCTTGGAGGTGAGCGTGTGGCCATGGTAGATGACGGGCTCCCCTCCCGGCCCCTCCCAGCAGTCCAGCTCCACGCAGCGGCATCCCTGGGCAAAGGCCCTGCGGACAGACAGACAGACAGGCAAGGTGTCATGTGGGGGGCACAGAGCAGGGAAACAGACAGGCTGAGCCAGGTGGACCCCAGGAAGCCCACAGTGGGAGCTGAGCCCCAGAAGTGTCCACTGCCACCGCTCCTCCCCTGGGTACCTGACATAGGCCTCCGTGCTGCTGAGCCCCCCAATCTGGGAGTCAGTCAAATAGGTATTGTGGGAGGAGGAGATAAAGTAGTGGGCAAGGGGCTGGTCCATGTCCTGGAACATGCACGTGTGGGCCGGGTCCAGGGCATCCCCCTCGGGGGACAACAGATACATCATGAAACCGTCCAGCGTCATTAGCTCGTGCTGCTTGGCTGCAGGGATGGACAGAAGACAGCATCAGGCCACATAGGGGACCCCCATGTCCAGCCCCAAATGCCCCCAAAGCTCACTTGCCATTAAATGTCATTTGCCACTTAATCTACAGCCAAACCGTGTGAGGACAGTACATTACTATGTCACTTTACAGATGTGGCAGCTGAGTCTGGAATTGGCAACATAAGCTACACAAGATGGTGCCCACAGCCAGTAATAGCAGAGCCCACGTAGCTGGAAATCCGGACCTATAGACACCAAGACCTGGGCTGTGTTGACCCCAACCCATCTGTCAGACCCCACCTGTCTCATTGAGCTCATAGGTCTGGATGAGCTGCTGGGCATGGGCCAGCGTGGCGCCGTCCTCGCCCTGGTCCTCCAGGAACTCCAGCAGCTCAGGGGCGCTCAGCACGCGGTCCTCGCCTGAGTACCGATGGAAGATCTCCTCCAACTCGGGGCGTTTCAGCAGTCGCCGCAGAAACTCCTCAATCTCAGTCCCCTCCAGCCGCTCATTGTTGGAGCGGTCACACTCCTAGAAAGCAGAAGACACTCAGAGGAGGGGACACCCGGGGAAAGCTGGCCTGCACTAACACACCGTCATCTACCGTGGCCGGGAAGGTGAATGGCCCCATCCACAGGTAGAGAAACAGCTAGTGAGGCTCCGGTCTCGCTCAAGTGCATACAGCTGGTGACCTGCAGGGCTGGGATACTAAGGGAGGTCTCTCAGGTTCAGTGCCATGAAAAATGGTGACCCTGGGGCAGGACTGAGTCCCTGTGCCACAATTCCTGCTCCCGTGTGTACACATCACCGTTCTCACGTTCCCATATTCCCACCCAGGGTCTATGAGCAACAAAGAACTGAGGACCCACGTGGATCTGTTGGAACAGGGGTATGGGTGCCATGGTTCTCCTGTCTTTCAGTGTCACAGGCTGGTCACACAGTCAACATCCACATCCAGTCCGCCATGTGCTCTGACTGGGCCATGGATGCAGACCCCAACCCTGTGCTCCCACAGGTGTGGAGGGGCCCGGGAGGAGGGTGTGCACGTGGGCCTGTGAGCCAGCTCCTCCCTTTGCTCCTATGTGCAAACCACACATGGTCACCTGTGTAACGGGTGCCCTGTGCATTTGGAGAAGTGAAAACTACAGCTTCGCTGCTCACTGGGGAGTGGTGGGGAGGCCCAAGATCCTACAACCCTTGGGGTCTGCCTGATGGGAGGAGAAGCTCGGGCCAGCACTCCCATCCTGGCCCCGAAGCCTCAGGGGAGGGTAAAAGGGTAAGCAGGCCCAGCTGCGACCTTTCTGCTGAGAAAGGCCCCATCTCCACAAAAGCTGGATGGAGAGGAAAACCAATGACTCGGATGGCAGGCGGTAGGGCAGAGAGCAGAGGTCAGAGTGGTGGCAGGAACCCACCTTGAAGAGGCGGTAGGCGTACATGTCATTCATGTCCACGTTGACCATTCTGAGCAGGCTCTTGATCTCCTTGAAACTCATCTTGCTGTCCTGGTTGGAGTCTGCCCGGTGCAGATAGGAGTGAATCCAGGTGTGGGTGCTCAGGAAATACCAGCAACAGGTTGGGCACCACCCCCAGCTGACTGGTAACTGACAGGTTTGACGCCACCACCTGGCCTTGGGGGATCCCCAGTGCACGGGCCTGTGGACTCCCTGAGCACAGCAGCAGGCTGTCCTCTAGGAGCCGCGCTCCCACCCTCAGGTTGAAGACAAGGGGCTGGGGGCTCAGGCTCAGACTGTGGACCCCGGAAGGGCAGAGCCGTACCTCCCCTCGGCCTGGGGTTCCCCAGAGCCAGGGCCCGCCTCCCTCCAGGTCCCCCTACCACCGCCCCATCCCCCTCGGGGGCAGGATATTGATCGAGGCGCTCGCGCTGGCTCATGGCGTCCAGGCGCGCTCGCAGCTTGGCCAAGCCGCGCACCCAGCGCTGCGCCTCCTCGGCCGTGGGCGCCACCAGGTCCAGGTTCTTTCGGCGGCCCTTGAAGGTGACGGTGAGGCAGCGCGCCGGTGCGAAGGCTCCCCCGAAGCGCCGCAGGCCCTCGGACTGGTGGCCCTCGCGGACGGCCTCAATGTGCTGCACAAAGACTGCGGGGATGGATGGGCCGCGAGCTGCTGGGTCAGGCGCGCCCCAGCCGGGGACCCTCCCTAGCCCACTGGGGACCCTCCCTAGCCCACTAGGCACCCGCCCGCTCCAACTCACAGATGTGCTGCGACGGTGGGTGCGGGATGCGCCGCTGGAACCACACACTCAGGCCGTCCTCCTGCAGCCGGTACAGCCGCTCCTTCTGCCACGTCCGCGAGCGGATCTTGCAGAGCCGGGAGCCTCGCAGCATGGCACGCACGTCCTCATCCTCGGTCAAGCCTGCAGGTTGGAAGGCCGGGTGCATTAGAGCCTGGCCCTACCAGGACCTCCTTCCAGCCTTCTCCCAGTGGGAGCTGTGGCCTCCCTCTCTGAGCCTCCTCCAACTCACACAGGCCTCTCTCTCCTTAGTGGAGCATGCCCCCAATACTGGTTTAACTTGAGGCTTGCTGTGCCCCACCCAGGTACCCCAGGGAGGTGTGCCAGTAACAGGCCCTTCCTCCCTGCCAAGCAGTGGTCTCTGGAGGCCGTAGAGCAGAACAACTGCAAAGGCAGGGCGAGGGACTCAGGCCTCTCTTTCGGCCACACTCCTCCATCAAGGCCTCCAGCCTTCAAGCCCAGAAAAGGCTATCACTTACAGCCTTTTCACTTGATTTGAAACCCTAACCACTACCTAACCTAAATCTCTCTTACTGCAACCCAAGCTCCTCACCTCTGCTTTCCCAAAGACAAGAGAGGACTGCAGAAGCCACTCTGGCTCCAGGATCACAGATCAAAGCCTCCAGGATCGGCCTTGGCTAACCACAGGCTGATCTCCAGGTGTCCCCTTTGTGCCCTAGTGGGCCCAGCTGAAAACATGGTCTCCTGTGACATCTGGCATTTGCCCAGCCACTGTCACAGCCATGTAACCCCTCAGCCCACATGTGCTCTCCGGTCAGTGTCCACTTTCCCTAATAAGACAAATGCTTACAAAGCACTTTCTGCACATACTCCAGACCCTGCTCATGCATTAACACACGAGGAAACAAGCAGAGAAGCTTCAGTGACTTGCTGGAATTCCAAGGCTAGGAAGTGGTAGAAACAGACTGCAGACCCTGGAGGTCAGGCTCCAGAACATTTGCCCTTGGCTATGACATTGAACCTTCTTGCTCCTATCATCTTCCTTCCCCCTGCCCCCACCACCACCCAGGGCAGGGGGAATAGGAAAGCGCAGAATTTAATTCGTTGTTTGTTTGTTTATCCTCACCCGAGGACATTTTTCCATATTTTGTTCAGATAGTGTGGGAGGGAGAGAGAGAGAGAGAGAAACATCCATGTGAAAGGGACACACAGAGTGGTTGCCACCTGCACGACCCAACCAGGGCCGGGGACAAACTGCAACCGAGGTACGTGCCCTTAACGGGAACCAAACCCGGGTCTCTCTGGACCACAGGCTGATGCTCCAACCGCTGAGCCAAACTGGCCAGGGCATTAGTTGTTTATTTTATATTCAATTTTAACTTTAAAAAGTTCACCCATTCTCCTACTCACCCCCCCAACAACAGCCCCTGCCTCTGGTAACCACTAATCTGCTCTTTATATCTATGAGCTTGGTTATTTACTTATTTTTAGATTCCACATATAAGAGAGATCATATGGTATTAGTATTTCTCTGTCTGGCTTATCTCCCTTAGCATAATGCCCTCAAGGTCCATCCATGTTGTTGTGAATAGTAAGATTTCACTTTTTTTTTCTTTTTTTTATGTTAGTTCATGCATTTATTCACCAAGTATGTATTATTTCCTTTTCAAATGTGTTATTTCTACTTCTTTTTTTCTGTGCCAGGAATTGTTTTTGGTACAATAGTGCATAAAAATAATAAAATTCCACACACAAAAAAATTGGAATTTTATCTAAAAAAAATAAAATGGTATCCTGTTTTTAATTCAAACCATGCTTATGAAGCAAAATATTTAGACTTCAAATAGAATCTAACAGATTTTAATTCTGTCAAAGATGTCTATGATTTAATATTGAAAGGTCAGTTAAAATATTTTATTAAAAAAGTATAAAATAAACTATTTTATTAGATGAATTCATTTATTTGACACACTAAATTTGGCAAAGAAAACAACATGCAACTCATAAGAAGAATCACATTCTCGCCTGGCTGGTCTGGCTCAATGGTTGAGTGTCGACCCATACACCAAGAGGTCACCGGTTGGATTCCTGGTCAGGGCACATGCCCAGGTTGTGGGCCTGATCCCCAGTGGGGGCATGCAGGAGGTGGCCAATTAATGTTCTTTCTCATTGATGTTTCTATCTCTCTCTCCCTCTCTCTCTAAAATCAATAATAAAAAAAAAAATAGCCCTGGCCAGTCTTTCTCTGTGGTTAGAGCGTCGGCCTGCAAACCAAGGAGTCCCGGGTTCGATTTTGGCCAAGGGCACATACCTCGGTTGCGGTTCATCCCTATCCTCGGTTGGGGCTGTGCGGTTGGCAACTGATCAATGTGTCCTCTCTCTCTCTCCCTCCCAATATGTCTGAGGACAAGTGTAAAAAAATAAATAAAAATAAGAATAAAAAAAAAGAATCATTCTCAAAAATAATAAATTGCTGAATGAACCCCAGGATTAATTGCAAAAAACCACCCTGTACAGAAAAACTTCTAGGCCCTGGCCAGTTTGGCTCAGCAGTTAGAGCATCAGCCTGAGGTCCAGAGAGACCCAGGTTCAGTTCCTGCTAACGGCACGTACCTCGGTTGCAGTTTGTCCCTGGCCCCGGTTGGGCTTGTGCAAGAGGCAGCCACTTGATGTGTCCCTTTCACATCGGTGTTTCTCTCTCTCTCTCTCTCTCTCTCTCCCTCCCAATCTGTCTGAACAAAAATGAAAAAATGTCCTCAGGTGAGGATAAAAAACAAAACAAAAACCTAACTTCAGTGAATCCAGTACTAAACGTGCTTCTTTATATTCCTCAGCTTCTTCCAACTCCTTTTCACTCTCTAGTATCTGCAAGTCGGTATATGCAGCTTCCAACCTGTGCTGGCAATCTGGGATCATCATCCGGGACTCTTGCAGGATCTCTGCCTGCTTTTTAGTGGTATAATTTTCACCATCTTCAGCTTTCACTCTTTTCTTCTTTTTGATACATCATTTTTTCTTTGGCCAATCTACTTCACCACGCCGATTTTATCTTGATTTGCCTAACATGAGGATCGGCCATGGTCCCTCGAGCGCCACGGGGAGGAGGGCTGGAGAGCTGGGGTAACCTGCAGCAAGAGCGCACCGAGGTGGTCGTCGATGTAGCCTCCACGGCCCCAACATTTCATTCCTTTTTATGTCTGAGTAAAATTCCATTATCTATATACACAACAATTTCTTTAGTCATCCATCGATTGACAGTTTGTTTCCATATCTTGGCTATTGTAAATAATGCTGCAATGAATATGGGGGTGCGTATATCTTTTCTTTTGTTGTTAATCCTCCCCGAGGATATTTTTTTCCATTGATTTTTGGAGAGAGTGGAAGGGGGGGAGGAGAGGGGGAGAGAGAGAGAAACATTGATGTGAGACACATCGATTGGTTGCCTCCTGCACTCGGCCGAACAGGTGCTGGGAACCAACCCGAAACCCAGGTACCTGATCTTTTTTTTTTTAATAATTTTTTTTCTTTATTGATTTTTTAGAGAGAGAGAGACAGGAAGGGAGAGGGAGAGAGAGAGAGGAAGGGAAAGGGAGAGAGAGAGAGAATTGATTGGCCACCTCCTACATGCCCCCACTGGGGATTTGGCCCACAACCCGGGCATGTGCCCTGACTGGGAATCGAACCAGTGACCTCTTGGTGCATGGGTCAACGCTCAACCACTGAGCTACACCGGCCAGGCCAGGTACCTGATCTTGTCTGGGAATCGAACCTGCGACCATCCTGTGCAAGGGCCAAGGCTCTAACCACTGAACCATGCCGGTTAGGGTATATCTTTTTTAGTTAGTGTTTTCATTCCCTTTGGATAGATACCCAGAAATATAAATGCTGGATCACATGGTAGTTCTATTTTTAATTTTTTGAGGAAAGCCCATACTGTTTTCCATAGTGGCTGCACCAGTTTACATTCTCACCAATAGTGCAGAAGGTTCCTTTTTCTCCACATCCTCGCCAACACTTACTGTTTCTAGTCTTATTGATGGCAGCCATTCTAACAGGTGTGATGTAATATCTCATTGTGGTTTTGATTTGCATTTCCTTGATGATTAATGATGTAGAGCATTTTTCATGTACCTGTTGGCCACCTCTATGTCAATCCAGATTTTCTGCCCATTTTTTTTTTTATCCTCACCCAAGGACATTTTTGCATTTATCTTCAGACAGAGCAGGAGGGAGAGAGGGAAGAAGAGAGAGGAACATCAATGTGAGAGAGACACATTGACTAGTTGACAACCAAAAAACCCCAACCGGTGCCGGGGACAAACTGCAACCAAGGTATGTGCCCTTAGCGGGAACCGAACCCAGGACTCTCTGGTCCTCAGGCCGAAACTCTAACCGCTGAGCCAAACTGGCCAGAGCTGCCCCTTTTTTTCTTTGAATTGTTTGTTTGTTTATTTATTTTGCTATGAGTTGTATGAGTTTTTAAAATATATCAGACATATAATTTGCAAATATTTTCAGAAGAAGCAGAATTTAAATTCAGGGTTCTGGGAATCAAGTCCTAACTCTGTCACTTCCCAGTTACACAGCTTTGGTGGCACTAATCTGTGACTGCTTTAAGCCTCATGTTCTCCATTCATAAAATGGAAACCACAACACAACCTGCTACAAAATCCAAAATTCAGTCAAGATGTTGCCCATTCCGCCCTGGCCAGTTTGGCTCAGCGGTTAGAGCGTCAGCCAGCGGTCCAGAGAGACCCGGGTTCGGTTCCCGCTAAGGGCATGTACCTTGGTTGCAGTTTGTCCCAGGCCTGGTTGGTCGTGCAGGTGGCAGCCACTCAATGTGTCCCTTTCACATCAATGTTTCTCTCTCTCTCTCTCTCTCTCTCTCTCTCTCTTTTCCTCTCTCTCCGTCCCACTCTATCTGAACAAAAAGTGGAAAAAATATCCTCGGGTGAGGATAAAAAAAATTAAAAAGTAAATAAAATTAAAAAAAAAGATGTTGCCCATCCCGTGGTGCCACACCCCGCTTGGATTTGCCTCAGCAGAGGTCAAAACCAAAGGTCTAGGAGCCAGGGGACAGTAGAGGGGCGGGAGCTGGGCAAACCCTAGGGCCCACACCCTTTGGAAGGAGGGGCAGCCAGGGTGGATGAGGGCCCAGAGTT